GGTACGTCATATAAGTGGAATCATCTAGTATTTGTCTTTTTGTGACTGGCTTATTTCATGTAGTGTCTTCAAGGTTCATCTGTATAGTAGCATGTGTCAGAACTTCCTTCCTTTCTAAGGCTAATATTCCACTGGGTTTTTTTTAATGAAGTAGAATTGATTTCTTTTAATGAAGTAAAATAGAAAATATTAGAGCTCATTTCTCATAATAAGGCCAAGTTAGCAAAATGATTGCTTCCATTGGGTGTGTATGTGAGTGTGTTCTAGACCCCCGAGTATAACATACTTCTTACTGTGCATCACAATTGTAAAAGTTTGAAAAACAATGATTTCGAGGGCTGGTGACTCCAAAACCTACTTTGATAGCCTGGCTCCTCTCCACCCATAGTTCCACAGGTCATTTCCAAGGATCTGCTGGCTAGCTTCACCTGGATCACCTTCCTGTGTCTGGGCAGATCAAGACTTAAACGTGTTATATACCCTCTTTCCTCCAGACATGCAGCTTCTCTCATGTCCCCTGCTTTGTTTCCCATCATCTGGCCCTGCCTGCCTCGCCCTGACCCAGCTGTCCAGCTCTAACATTTGAGTGATGCAGAGTCACTCGACTCTTCCCTGCCCTTTCTGATCCTTGCTCAAACTGGGTTTCATCCCCCTTCACTCCACCTCTGCCTGGGCCTATGGAACATCCCCCGTCTTTAAGAACCACCCCCCAGATGCCTCCATGTACCTTGAAGCACACTGATTCACTGTGGTTCCCTCCTCCTTCTCCTTCGAGTCTCTTGTCCATTCTTCCCAACAGCCTGCGAGATCCCAGGGACCCTGGACTGTGTCTGTCTTGAACACCATTGTTCCCTCAGCACTTAGGGTGGTGTTCAGTATATGGTAAATATCCATTCAGTATTCATTCAATCAAGAACAGACACGAGGATCCAAGAACATCAAAGGCAAACTTCACAGCTTTGTTTCTTGCCTTTTCCTCCTAATTCATGCAGTGTACACTCTCTCTATTAGAGATGCTGAGCTCACTAAGCCATCTGCCCTGCCTTCTCCCCTCCTGGCCAGTGGAGGTATTTGCAGCGTTCTGACTGCTCCTGACCGGCCTTCCCAGAAGTACCCACTGCACAGCACAGGGAGAGGCCAGGGGTCCAAAGAAATCAACACACATTGACTCCTATCTCTGACTTCCTTGGGATGTAATCTGTCTCTAAATTCTCACTGGAAGAGCCCGACACTTTGTGCCCCTGAGCTCTTTGTGAGGTGGCATTACACCAACTCAGCACAGAAGCAAAGAACAGCAACCTTTAGGAATACCCTAGCTCTAAAATGGATCGCTCCCTGTGCCAAGTTCTCTTCACTTTTCACCGGGCTGTGACAATACCTCCCAGCCCCTTCCCCTCTTTAACCCTTCCTGTACAAGGCCCGGATAACCTTCCTTCCTAGTGGCTTTTACCATGTCATTACCCTGTTCGAGGACCAAACGTGACTCCCTATGGACCAATGAACCAAGTTCAAACTGTCCTTCTCAATCTTCAAAGCATTTCACTGAAGCACTGACCCACCATTACACCTGCCCCCTTCCCCTACATGCTCCCTTGCAACAGCTGGATCTAATTCTTCACTGTGTCTTTTGCAATTACTACCCTTGTATACAAACATGAGTGCACACACAAACCCACCTTCAATCACTTATTCATTATCCAATATTTACTGAGAACTTATCATGGGCCAGGCATATTTGGAGCTCAGGGTGCAGCTGGAAACAAAAGAGAGAATTCCTGCTCATGGAGATTTACAGTTTGCAGCAGGGTTTCTCAGCCTCAGCACTACTGACATTTGGGCTGGATAATTCTTTGTTGTGGGCGGCAGACCATGCATCGCAGGATCTTTATAGTATCCCTAGCCTCTTCCCAGTGGATGCCAGTAGCACCTTCCTCTCTGCATTGTGACAACCAAAAATGTCTCTGAACATTGCCTGAGGGGTAAGACTGCCCTCAGTTGAAAGCCACTTGTCTAGAGCAGCAGGGGGAGCTTGGTACAGACCACATGAGGAGATTGTTCAAAAGGCAGCATACTAGATCGCATTCCCAGAGAGTCTGATTCAGGGGCCCAGGACTCTGCATTTCAATGGCCCTCCAGGTGGTTCTGAAACAGGCTGTTCCAGGACCTCTGCTGGAGGAACACCGGTTCTAGATGGGAGACACACCAAGAGTCACATCAAATCAGTTCAGTACAATGACTACGTGTGTAGGCAACAAGACAGGTAAGCAGGTGCTACAGGGGCAAGTAATGTGGCAGCACAACCGCGCTCAGGGCAGTATCCCTGATGGCCTTATCAATGATTTAGCCAAGTGCTGCGGTGTAGGCGGGGCAGGTGTGGGAGAGGTGAGAGGAGATAGTGCCACACCTGCATCTCTGCACTTCTGCTGCTCTTTCTGGATGTGCTCGTCCCCTCCCTTAGCCAAATCTTACCCTTCCTTCTGGGTACACTCAAGTTCCTTCCTCCAGACAGCCTTTCCTAACTACTCCAGCCCATCAGTGCCTTTTTTTCTCAGACACTCTGCAGACAGATTCACACTTACTTCCTATCTCATCTATGGCCGTTTTGTTTCCCCAAATAGACTTCAAGCCCCTTAAGCCCCAGTACCACATCATCTCCTCCTTTATAGATCCTGAGGCATCCTTCCGGGGTTGGGCATACACAAGTCTTGCTTGCTTGGTTGGGTTAACCTGAGTCCTTGGAGTGAGGCCTGCAAGGTGGCATCTGTGCACTTTAGGGGGTCAGGGTCTCTGTGTGAGGGAGGATAGGAAGCAACTGGTACACCTGCTGAACTCCAGACAGCTAGCCCATCCACCCAAGACCAAGCCAGGCTTGCAGAGCATGCAGGTAGTAGTTGAGTTGGCATTTGCCGTGGGCACCAATACTCTCCCCTGTTGATAAGACAGAAGGAATCTCTGCAGCCCTAGTAACTTTTAGGAGGTGCCAGCCAGGGATTAGGGACCCAGAGCCACCCTGCTGCGGAGCAAGTGCCAAGACAGAAGCAGGCCCTTCAAGGACCCAGCTGTCCTTGCACAGGACCATCTCTGGGGCAGCAGTAGAGCCAAAAGAGGAGGCAGGCTCAATCAGATCCAACAAGCCAGGATACTCTGAAAATATCCTTTAAAGCCACCAGCACCATACATAGGTCATGAGCTGTCGCCAACCAGGGAAGAATGCTCTCTGGGAAGGTCCGGAGCCATGACTGGCTGGAAATAAAGGCTGGGGACAAGGTGCCTCATACTCCCCAGCTCTGGGGCAGTTACAAAGAGGGGAAATAGCCTGACCGCTTGGCTTTCTGACTGCAAGTGAGACACTAGCAGGAACCCTCACCTCCCATCCTCCTGGGCAGCCCAGGTTGGGGAACACGTGACTAATGTAGAACCCAAAGAATGAAAAGACAGCAACTGCTTCATTATTTGGAAGTCTAGGGAAGAAGATGGGAGGCTTGTATAGCTAGAGAGCTGAAAAGGCTTCCCCTCCAACCCCCATCAGCCTACGGGGAGAGGCGGTGAGAGTAGGGAGACAGTGGCAGCAGAGGAAAAACATGGCTCCAGCAGAAAGGAGAAGGGGATTCTTTCCAAGAAAGGCTCTGATGTGAAAGTGTCCTAGAGCAGAGCTCTCCCTCACCCTCAAAACCAGGCAGAGCAATCCGGAGCATTTCCCCTAAGCCAGCAGGGCTGGCAGAACGAAGCAGTTGGCATTTCTGTGTATCTTCCGCATACAGAGACACTGAGGCTGTGCCCGAGTTTCTGAGTGCCACCTTCTACTGCTCTCTCTCTTAATGGAGTTTGCCAATGGGTGGGGGTAGGGGGAGAGCCCAACAAGGGCAGGGTTAACTTCTGCTGCAGCTCTGACCTTTTGCACTAAGGATGAGAAAACTCATCTGTTTCAGAAGGGATCAGGTTGTGAGTTTCACAGATGCCGTGGCTATGGGATTATAAGAATTGACTATTCCTGCCGCATCGCCACAGCCCACTACCACCCCCACCTAACCCGACGCTCCTGGGGGGAGGGGGTCGCGGATGCTTCCCCCGACCCCCGACCCCCCAAAAGCCCCTACAAAAGTTCAGGACTAGCGAGGTAAAAAACAAATTAAAAAAAGAACCCCCAAACCAAAACAAAACAAAAAAAAATCTATCCAATTTTGAGCCCTCCACACCGGGGCTCCAACCAAATGCCCATGGAACTGCAGGTTTGAGGGACACCAATCCGATCGCGGAGGCCGCTATGGGCAGTTAAATGGATTTATCGTCAGCTTGGCTACTCGGAATTCCAACCTGACCCCCACCCCCCGCCCCATTTTTCACTGCAGAGTAAAGTTGTCGGGGCCTCCAGCCGGCGCTGGGCAGGCACTGTCCTCGAGGTGGGAGCAGAGATGCGCTTCAGAGCGCAGTGACCCAAGCCTAACGCGGCGGTGCTGGGGACTAGGGGGGGGGGGGGGTCGGGGTTGCTCCCCCCGACCCCCGACCCCCCAAAAGCCCCTACAAAAGTTCAGGACTAGCGAGGTAAAAAACAAATTAAAAAAAGAACCCCCAAACCAAAACAAAACAAAAAAAAATCTATCCAATTTTGAGCCCTCCACACCGGGGCTCCAACCAAATGCCCATGGAACTGCAGGTTTGAGGGACACCAATCCGATCGCGGAGGCCGCTATGGGCAGTTAAATGGATTTATCGTCAGCTTGGCTACTCGGAATTCCAACCTGACCCCCACCCCCCGCCCCATTTTTCACTGCAGAGTAAAGTTGTCGGGGCCTCCAGCCGGCGCTGGGCAGGCACTGTCCTCGAGGTGGGAGCAGAGATGCGCTTCAGAGCGCAGTGACCCAAGCCTAACGCGGCGGTGCTGGGGACTAAGTGCAAACGCCACGGTCACGCACCCCGGGGACGCGTGGCCAACCCTGCGGCCGCCACCTGGAGGCTCCCCGCGGGCTCCGCGCATCCCACCCTCTCTCGGACTTTCTTACCTCTTGATGTAGTTGCTGCCGTACAGGATCTGTTGCAGCAAGGTCACCAAGGCGAAGGCGCAGATGAAGATAAAGAGTAATGTTCGGTTCCCCAGCAAATCCCGGTTGGCGGAGGGG